ACCATATTCTGAAGAGCAGCATTCAAAACTTACCTGCTACTCCCAGCAACTCAGAAAGGCCCAGAAGCTTGGCGGATTGTTTGTAGCACGTAGGGGACTGGCAAATACACTCCTTGATAAGACTGATCCGGTCAGAGCACAATCGCACTACCAAAGACAGACAAGAGACTTGTAATCAGGGACATCACAAGAGAGTATCATGATGATCCTAATTTAAGACAACCAAACAAAAGGAAAACTATGTTAGCCTCCAGAACCATAAAAAATAAGATTTTTTTTTAAAAAAGGAAAATCATTGTTGCTTCTGAGTAAGTAATGTACAACATGGATCTTTTCTTTGTCACCAAACTTCTGAAATGGAAAATGGACTGGCATTCGGAAGCTAGGAAAAACTGTCACTTTTTCAAGTGCCATGTCTCGCCAGGGAAAATTATACACAGGGCAGCATTTGTCTTTGAAAACGTCACATTCTTTCATTTACGCCTGTCCCTCCATTCACCTTGCCCGACAATATCCATTCCAAGGTCCAAGCATCTCCATTGTATCTCCACCTCATCACTCTGGTTTGAAGGGCAGGAGTTTTTGAGGTGCTCACTGTTCCAATTTATTAACTTTTCTCCAAAAACAGGCCCATTCCTCTCATCTAAGCTAGATGTTAGGAAAATAAAACTTGTCTTATCATACCAATTCACACTATGAAGTAATTAAGAACACTTAAGGGGAAAAAAAAAATTTAGTTAAGAGTATTATTATTATGTATATGCTAGGGTATTTATTTAGGGGAGATGTGTCAACCTTTAAGAAGCATGGCACTACTGGGAGGCTAGGCTCCAATAAATTGAACAATAACAACAATAGTGACAACAGCTGACAGTGAGTGAGTATGACCTATGTTCCAGAAACTGGAGATGCTTTCATGTGTCATAAACCCGACAAGGCCAAGGCAGGTCCTATTATCCTCAGGGGAGAACAGGAGGCGCAGAAAGGTCAAGTACCTTGGCCAAGGTCACTGGAAAAGTGATGCGGCCTCCTAAGTATTTTTCACAACTTTATTCCTTTATCCATTGCTAAATCCATCGCTATATCCCATACACCCTGTGGTCACCCAAAACCTCTTATAGGTATGCAGGAGAGGGCCCAGTGGCTGAGGAGCAAAAGGAGAAATGGAGTTTTTCTCTAAAATGGGCAATTTTTTTCTAAGTTTTTATTGTGATTTCTTTCAAACTTTCAGAAAAGTTTCAAGAATGGTACAAAGAACTCCATGCTTTTTGCCAAGATTAACCAATTGTTAATAAGTTGCTCCATTTGCACATGCATGTGTACAATCGTGTGTCCTCCTTCCCTCTACACACACATATACACACACACATCTATTTTTTTCTGAACCACTTGAGAATCTGTTGCAAAATATTTTAGCTTGTTTTGGGCTATTGTTAAGATGACTATTTATGCACCTGCCAGTAGGGTGATTCTGTTGTGCACTTTACTATAAAACAAAAGGTAGAGGTAGACTTCAGTTATTTAACTTCTCAAAAACTATAGCCAATATCTATATCTGGGTATATAACTTCTGTAGATTGTATTATTGTTCCCAGGATCCTGCAATTATTCATATGTCAGATTTTCACCTTTCTAACATTAGGCTTGGCCATATGACTCCTCTAGGCAAAGAAAGGTGAGGGAAAGTGACATATACCACTTCTCAGCAAATGCTTAAACGTCATCACGGGATTCCACTGCTCATCTTTTCCCTCCACAATGAGAATCCCATGTTTCAGAGCAGTGCTGCAGAAATAACTGGAGCAAGAACTTGTTGTCACACACCGCAGATATTTAGTTTTTTGCTATAGCCATCTAGCACACACTAACTGATACAGTACACTTGTGGGGAAAGTGGACAAGAACATGGTGTCTATCAGGTTCCCTTGCACAGGATATCTGGAGAAGCTTGTACTGCGCCTGACAGTAAACGTATGCTTGCTGGGACTGTGCCGGCTTTGTTCCAGAGCCCTAATCAGAAGGCTGCCCAGAAGGCTCTGCAGCTACTTCCACTCCCCGAAAGGCGCATTCACAGTCCCATCTGTGCCTCAGTTATTCTTTGGCCTGCCCAAATCTTAGTTCAACCTCCCAGTGAAAATCACCTGCACTGACAAAACTTCAAACATTTCCTTAATTCTATCAAAAAAATGGGTTTTTTACTCAATATATGCTGCTCTTTCATAGCTTTTTCTCCAAGTAAGTATTTTTTTTTTAAATTTATGGAACATCAGTACTTTAATATTCCAAATTCAGGAACTGTGAGAAAGGTACTTTCTGCATGTTTCTAATGTGATTTTCAAAACACCTGTCATAGACATTATTGTCACTCTACATATGTAAAAACCTGGTGATTTCACAGATGTTTTAAAATGGCATTATTTGATGAATTCTTGTATTCGTCTTTGAGAAGCTCTAGCTTCAGCAATTCTAGTAAGCTGATTTCCTTGCTATTACCTATCACTCTTTTTCTAGCTTGATATAATCAAGGTGGAAAACTGAAATTACACGTGGGAAAAACTCATCATTTTCTCTAAAGTTCCATTAATGGAACATTAAAGTTTGGTCTCTGCTTCCTTCCCTGAAACATGCTAATATTTCAAATACATTAAATAATTTGGAGAGCAAGATTCTAATTGAGTACAATTGCCATGTCCAAATAACTTCCTTATTTTTGAGCCTCTGCATATCACTATACCAGCTCTTTTTTACTGTTTATTGTAGGACAGGCTAAATTGTATTTCAAAACGTGATTTCTCAGTTAAATAAATTCAAGTCTTAGATATTTTTATGTATGAAGAGAATGGGTCTTCAACTCCTAAAATTCCTTCTCAAAACAGAATGAACATGAAAAGGATATGCATGCATGTATCTTTTAATAACTGAGGATACCTCATTTTCCTGTAGATCTCACAATATATCTCAAATGTTAAAAAAACAAAACACAGACATACACATTCACACATTGACACACAAATCTCAGACATAAGCATTTATTGATCAGCTACGCACATGCCAAACACTCTTACAAGGCAAGAAAAATGCATGATACCCAGCAAGCCACAGATGCAGTATGAATTTCAGTCACTCATGAATGGCATCAAAGGTGTGCAATAGAGTTACTTGTGACATTACTGAAGTGCAAATCTGAACTATGAAGGTGAAGAAGGTGATAATATGCAAACATTGGTCACTTAGCTTATGAGTCAAAGCACCAGTCAGTTTCATTCTCGAACAGTTTTCTACTTTCACACCTCTCCATCAATAGAGTATTGTCTACTGTTTACAAACACTGGCTCTTGAGCCAGACAACCTAGGTGTCAGTTCTAGCTCCACCTCTAACTAGCTGGGTGACCCTAAGGCTATTTAACCTCCCTGTATGGAAATTGGAAAGAACAGTCACTACCTCATAGGGTATTTTTCGGAATTAATGATACACATGTACCGAGAACATAAAAATCACTCAGTAAATGTTGGTTATTATTATTACTGCTAGTGACATATTCACAGAAATGCTTCTGAAATATGGGATCCTCTAATGCAGAATTCCCAACGTCAGGATATAACTCTTAGGCTATGTAGGGCATATTTTATTACTACCTCCATCTGAGGAAGGTTAAATTCAAAAACGTTAAGTTGCCGCAGGTTACGCAGCTCCAAGCGGCTGAATCAGAATTTAAACTCATATATGACACTAGGTGTGACTTGTTATCAGTGTGTCAGTCCCTCAAAGTCAGGCAGTGTGCCTTATTCCCTTCATTATTTCAGCTTCTGGAACAGACTAAGAGGCTAGATTAATGTTTTTTGAATGGAAAGAAAGGGAAGTGGAAAAAGGAGACTGGAGAGACGGTTGAGGGGGGAGGGAAAATGAATGAAAAGAAAGGAGGAGGCATCATGAGAAGGCAGGTAAGACCACGCTGATTCCACCGCCATTTAAAAGTGCCTGAGGGAAACAATAAAACCAGCAGCTGGTACTCACAGAGCTCTGACTGTATTAGCCCGGCACTGTGAACTATGGGCTGGATCTTTATGAGTCATTCCATAAGATGCTAAGTAGTAGCATCTTCATTTTATAAATGAGAAAACTTGGATACAAAAGAGGTGAAGACACTTGTCCCGTTACCCTGCAGTAAGTGGCAAAACTGGCTCCAGGCTGGGCTTAGCCATAATGCTGTAAATCGGGNAAAACACAAATATATACACACAAACACTTCATAGGACACTCTACACAGGAATCATTTTTAAATGATATTTCTGTTCATGTTTTCTATTAACTCATTAATTATACTTTAGCTAGTACCAACAGCCTTCACCTGAGGAGAAACATCAACCCCTGGTGTACAGATACAGAAGGCTTTGAAACAAAGCAAAGTGACAAAATGAACTATGTACACTGACTAAAATAAAATTACCTGCACCATAAATGTTCAAATACCACGTTACTTGGTCCAACAGTACTAATGAATATAAAAGCAACTTAAACCTAAATTGTATCTGTGGCATAAAAACAACAAATAGTACACAAAGGCAACATTCCCTCTCCACATCCAGGAGATTTTCTGACATTCTAAATAGGACATTCCAAATTAAAATATCAAGCTGGAAAGCTGTCAAGACATGAAAGTAATTATCTTTCTTAAAAGACTCTTCAGTCAGGAAATTTCTCAGAAGCAACAGCAAGATGGGTTTGGTTGCAGATATTCAAACCCATCAGCTGAAGTGCAGTATTACCAGCAAAAGTACCACTAATTGGGCACCACAGAAAATCAGAGCTTAATTTAATATTTCAAGCTTCAATATTGGGGGACTGCAAGAAAAATTTTTTGTATGACATCAATCTGCTTGGATTTAATAATTAAAATGCACACACACATATGATCAGTACACATAGTGCGGGGGGGTCATGGGGAAGACAGTGTAGCAGAGAGAAGACAAGTAGCAACTCTGTGGCATCTTACTATACTGATGGACAGGGACTTCAGTGGGGTATGGGGGGGACTTGATAATATGGGTGAATGTAGTAACAACATTGTTTTTCATGTGAAACCTTCATAAGAGTGTATATCAATGACACCTTAATAAAAATAAAAGATAAAAAAGTAAAATAAAATAAAAATACACATACACACATGTACACACAGTCAAAGCCACAGTGAGATGAAGCTCATGAACAAGAGGCATAGGAAAGGCAAAAGTCTGACAGTGCTCTGGACTCTCCTGTGACCGAAAAATTCAACTGAAAACAAGTGTTCTGGGTGAAGTAGTTAGTGACTTAAGACATTTAAGAATAAACTGAAAATGTTTTTTAGTAACTGATTAATCTCCACAATTTTAAGCTTTGAGCTAAAAATTACATGAATGGTACAACTGAATGAAATTTTCTAGCAATTTAACAATGCTAAATATACTTGCTTAAGATGCTGCAGGATATTTATAACCATGTACAAATTATTTCCAAACAATGATATTCAAGGTAATAGTAATACTATCTTTATCAAGTCTAATAAATATATCTGACAAGCAGAATCCACATGAAAACAGGAGACTGTCTCTATCAGCTTATATTCCCTAAGATCCATGTGCATAAAACCCTACAGGGGACAAAGACATGAAGGAATCTGTATGCCCTCACTGTCTGAAGGTACTAAAAGCTAAAAAAAGAAGAGAAAAAATTCTGATGAAAATACAATAAAAACTAGAGAGAGAAAAGAACTCAGCTATACATCCCCTACCCCCAGTTCTAAACATTTCCAGAGTTAAAAACAAGGTAAGAGATTAGATGGAAGCCAGCCAAGCATACTGCAATGACCAAGATGCTTGCTTCTTTTAAGGCACTGAGGCTGAGGTTTGAAACAACAGAACATCTACCTCCCACTTGTCAGGTACAGTTCAGGACACAAGAGATGCACACTGTCCTCACGGCACAAAGGAGACCATGACAAGTGACTGTAACAGCACACTTGCTTTGTGTGGTACTTAACCTTTTACATTTAGGTAAAAGAGCCTGCACAATGTTGAGATATCACTGGAAATTAAACTCTACACAAGACCTTCCCATATTCACCTCTTTGAAAAAAATATCAACACTAAAGTATATTCTGCAGCAAACATAAAATTATCACTTACAGCTACTTAGAAATCTATGTAACTGAAGTAAAATGTATACCAAACTGATGTAAATCTGAAATTCTCATCCATAATTCCCAATTTCTATCTTTATTTTTATCCAACAGCCTCAGTGCTGCTACTAATATTATTTCTTTTAATGTTATCATTGTGAATTTAAAAGTTTATGATAAACTGTGGCATTTATCTTTTTCTTTTGGGCTTCCACTGAAGATTTCATTTGAAAAATGGGACAAAGGGCTGGATCTATTATTGCTAATGGATTACATGACCAAGGTACTCTTCAGTTTAAAAAACTAAAAATGAATGCTAGTAAATTAATGCAAAGTAAGTTACTAACAGTGTAACACTAAGCAGATCCTCACCTTGCAAAGGCAGAATCTTTACCCCAAACTCCTCAAGACATCCAAGGGCCTGGATGAGATCCAGTTCCTCTTGAATGGCGGCGGGTCTATCTGTTATCAGCTGTAAACAGCACCTGGGAGAAATAAGGTAAACTTTTAAAACAAAGTAACACACATTTGGCTACACTGCCTTTCTATATTTGACAACATGAGATCCAACACATCTTTATCAAAAACCTACTACATTACAGGCTTTCTGCTAGATCCTTCCTGTTATCTTACTTAATCCTCACAGTAAACCTGTGAGATAGGCAAATGCCATCACCTGCTTTGTAAGGAAGCCAAAATTTAAGTCCAGAGGGGTAACATGCTTACCCAGGGTTGCAATGATAGTAAATGACCACATTAGCGTATGAAACCAGATATGCTGACTCTGTATTTAAGTACTATTTTTACTGTCGGCTCCAAAAGTAATAATCATATTAGAAATGATTAAAAAAACAGAGTTCAGATCATTTCCAGTTATTCTTCTAGGAAAAACAAATTTCTTGATTCAGTGATAGTTTTATCTCCCAAAGGTAAAAAGAATAACCTAAGAAACTGTACACCAATTTTTGACCAAAAAGGAACAATCAGATAGTAATGCAGTTCTGAGATATATATATAGCAGAAAGTGATTTGCTAATCTAAAAATCTGTGGAAACTATGGAGCATTTTAAGCAGTTTTTTTAAAAAAACAGAAAAAGTGTACTTAATCAGTATTTTAATTACTGAATAAACTCACTGTCTAAAAGGTACATGTAGAGGAACCTTAGGACACAAGACTAAAAAGACAGGAAGCAATCAGGCCATGACAGGATACTGAATGCTAAAATCATGATCATCAGATGAAGGCACCTAAGCCCCAGCGTGTACCTATACGACAAAATCATCAATGTAGGCCTAGCTTCCTCTCACAAGATTGTAGGATTTAAATCGGATGGGCACTAACATATACTGCCCATTCAAGTGTAAAAGCATATTAATTTATTTGCAATATCTACCAAAATTCTAACTGCACTGGCCTGTGAACCCAGGAGTTCTGCTTCTAGTAATCTACACTACAAATAGGCTCACACATGTCCACACATAATACTCACAACCACTGTGCTTTCAAAAATAAAATACACTAAATCAGGAACTAATTAAATGAAGTTTAACAAGGAAATAGTCTACAACCATCAGAAAAGCAAGAATCAAACCTATATGTGCTTACATGGAAAAGCCTTCACTATAAATCATAAGTGAAAAAAGATACAAAAAGGTATGTACAAGTGTACAAGTAGTAAGCACTTATTTGTGATTAAGAAAGATTTGCAATTTGGTGCCACATTAAATACATATGACAGCTTTTTAAATTTAAGTCTGACCTTGTGGGAGAAAAAGAGATGGAATAAAAGGGAAACACAGAAAGAATGGTTTTTAAAATGATCTCTGAGAACATCTGCCAAAAAGATTTAGGTCAAACACAACTCCCAGTTTCAAAGGCTATTCTATTTGATATTTTCATCATCTGAAATAGAAATACAACCCCCTGGGAGAGAAGAAAAAATGTACTAAAACAACTTTGTCAAGTCCAATAACATGGTTTAAAAAAACATGATTCACTCTGTGAGAAGCTAGGGAAAAAAAAGTTACCTTTAAGTTTTGCTTAAACTGTAAACTACTAGTCATCTGCAGGAGGGAAATAAATTTGAATACCAACCACAATCATGACATCAAATAAGTTCCAGAAAGGCCTAAAATTTCAGTGTAAAAATAAAACCATCAAAGTGGTAAAAAGGAGTATGAAAAACTATCTTAATGGTCTTGGGAATTAAAGGTCTTTCAAATGATGACACAGAAGATAAAAACTATAAAAGATTATAATGATCAAAAATTTTTTAAATTCTGTATAACTATTTAAAAAATAAATCATGTATGAGAAAAACTTAGCAACACAGTTAAAACATTTAAGGCAGGCAAAGGACCAGTGTCTCCTATGAAAAAAAATCTCATAATAATCAATAGTAAAACAATGAATACTGTATTTCCAGTACAACAAGCTGAGAGAGAAACTGAATTCATGATCTGGAAATTTCTACCTAAAAGGGACTTTTGGGCTTTGTAGTTACCAGGCCCCTATCCCAAAACAGAGAGGAAACCACATAAAGGATACAGACATCACCTAAATGTTTATACTAAAAATTTCCAGAACTTGAATATGCGGGCTATCACCTGCTTCTCTTCCAACAAAAAGAAGTACAAACTTAGAGATAATCAGCCAGAATAACTGTAGAAAAACATGCTGGAGAAAAAGGGCCATAAGGAAATTGATGAATATTCATACTATAATGAAGTTTTCTTTCTATAATTCGAGCAATAAATAACTTTGCCCATACAGTAGAGTTAGTAGGTACTTGCAGTAATACATTTTGTAAAGAATAAAAGCAACAGCATAGTTTGTGTTCTGACTTCCCTGCCTCCCTCTTAACGGAAAATGAGTTACCCTACCTGGCCAGATCCATACAGCTGTCAGTGAGGTTTAGGATACTGAATGCTAAAATCATGATCATCAGATGAAGGCACCTAAGCCCCAGCGTGTACCTATACGACAAAATCATCAATGTAGGCCTAGCTTCCTCTCACAAGATTGTAGGATTTAAATCGGATGGGCACTAACATATACTGCCCATTCAAGTGTAAAAGCATATTAATTTATTTGCAATATCTACCAAAATTCTAACTGCACTGGCCTGTGAACCCAGGAGTTCTGCTTCTAGTAATCTACACTACAAATAGGCTCACACATGTCCACACATAATACTCACAACCACTGTGCTTTCAAAAATAAAATACACTAAATCAGGAACTAATTAAATGAAGTTTAACAAGGAAATAGTCTACAACCATCAGAAAAGCAAGAATCAAACCTATATGTGCTTACATGGAAAAGCCTTCACTATAAATCATAAGTGAAAAAAGATACAAAAAGGTATGTACAAGTGTACAAGTAGTAAGCACTTATTTGTGATTAAGAAAGATTTGCAATTTGGTGCCACATTAAATACATATGACAGCTTTTTAAATTTAAGTCTGACCTTGTGGGAGAAAAAGAGATGGAATAAAAGGGAAACACAGAAAGAATGGTTTTTAAAATGATCTCTGAGAACATCTGCCAAAAAGATTTAGGTCAAACACAACTCCCAGTTTCAAAGGCTATTCTATTTGATATTTTCATCATCTGAAATAGAAATACAACCCCCTGGGAGAGAAGAAAAAATGTACTAAAACAACTTTGTCAAGTCCAATAACATGGTTTAAAAAAACATGATTCACTCTGTGAGAAGCTAGGGAAAAAAAAGTTACCTTTAAGTTTTGCTTAAACTGTAAACTACTAGTCATCTGCAGGAGGGAAATAAATTTGAATACCAACCACAATCATGACATCAAATAAGTTCCAGAAAGGCCTAAAATTTCAGTGTAAAAATAAAACCATCAAAGTGGTAAAAAGGAGTATGAAAAACTATCTTAATGGTCTTGGGAATTAAAGGTCTTTCAAATGATGACACAGAAGATAAAAACTATAAAAGATTATAATGATCAAAAATTTTTTAAATTCTGTATAACTATTTAAAAAATAAATCATGTATGAGAAAAACTTAGCAACACAGTTAAAACATTTAAGGCAGGCAAAGGACCAGTGTCTCCTATGAAAAAAAATCTCATAATAATCAATAGTAAAACAATGAATACTGTATTTCCAGTACAACAAGCTGAGAGAGAAACTGAATTCATGATCTGGAAATTTCTACCTAAAAGGGACTTTTGGGCTTTGTAGTTACCAGGCCCCTATCCCAAAACAGAGAGGAAACCACATAAAGGATACAGACATCACCTAAATGTTTATACTAAAAATTTCCAGAACTTGAATATGCGGGCTATCACCTGCTTCTCTTCCAACAAAAAGAAGTACAAACTTAGAGATAATCAGCCAGAATAACTGTAGAAAAACATGCTGGAGAAAAAGGGCCATAAGGAAATTGATGAATATTCATACTATAATGAAGTTTTCTTTCTATAATTCGAGCAATAAATAACTTTGCCCATACAGTAGAGTTAGTAGGTACTTGCAGTAATACATTTTGTAAAGAATAAAAGCAACAGCATAGTTTGTGTTCTGACTTCCCTGCCTCCCTCTTAACGGAAAATGAGTTACCCTACCTGGCCAGATCCATACAGCTGTCAGTGAGGTTAGTAGAAGAATTGAAGTACTCTCTGCTGGCAGCCAAAACCAAGTCAATACTTTTTTCATAACTGACCCTGTACTGGGTCTTTCCTTTATGGGATACACTAGCTGGTGGATTTATTGAACAAGCACTGCAGTGCATCATCTGCCCAGCCAGGTGGATATTTTCAAGGCGACTGGAACACAGAAGGCTTTCTGTAAATATCTGGGATAAAGAAGAAACTGGAATCAGTGCTTAAAGAGAGGATTCAGTTCTCAACAGAATGAAGGCCCTGATATCCAAATGAAATGTTAAAAATACATCTGTCCTAGAGGTAGTGGTTGCACAATGTTGAGAATGTACTAAATCTAAATGACAATGAAGTACACGTGTAAATGGTTAACTTTATGATATGTGAATTTCAACCTCAATAAAAAAATCCACTTTTAAGATGAAGAAATACTTTAACTGAACAAACCCAATATTAAGCATAATATTTTTAATGTAATGAATACTTGATAAAATATCTGAAGTTCATATTCATTAAAAACAGAATCCCTTAGATATAATGTCTCACACTCAATAGGTCCTACTATGTTTAAATGATTAATAACATTTTAATTTTTTTAAAAGAAAGTCTTTGAATATGACATGCATAATTCATGACTGTTTAAAGCATCTGAATTTAGTCTTACAAACTAAATAGCCAAGCTACAAATGTTACACTTTTACCTATTCATTAAAATTATGATATACCATGTAATTTTTGCCATCTGCAAACTAAAAACTATTAAAATAAAACAGGAGCCACTAATGGAAGGTATTCATGGAAATATCACTGTATTCTACTAGGCAACTAATAGCATTAATTGACATAAAATTTATTCTATAATTGAGATTATTTGTTTATTACTTATACTAACTCTAGAAAAGTCTTAAACAGATCTTTTTAAACCTACAATAATAAAGTCAGTATGTAATTAGAACAAGAACTCCCCAAGAACATTCTTCCCTATTATGCCAGTGGATAAGTATAGCACAAAAACACAAAAATAGAAGAGATTAAAAAATCATTTCATGGAGGAGCAAGAGTTCCCTTATAATTAAGACAACTATCGGATTTTCCTAGGATCCCCTTTGTGGGGAAAATGGAAGTTCCTATGGGCAGGATCCTCACCTGACCCTAACCTACTTGATGCTGTCATTGGCTTACTACTAGGCTAACGCTTCCACACCCATAGGCAATGAGCTGTTATTGACTAAGTCACTATATTAAAAGCTCCAGCCAGTGCTCCATGTGAAGGCAGAGACAGAGGTGGATTACGGGCCTGTAGACTGCTGGATGCAGATGTGATCCCAATGCTCAACCTACCACTGGAAGGACAAAGCCAAGTATAAACGCTTTTACCCCAAGAACGTTCCATTGTCATTTCTCAGTCTCACTAAATTCATAATTAACTTGGCAGGGGCTGAAACCCTCAGGCAAGACCGTCTTATTTTCACTTATTTCTACACTACTGGAGAAGGAATTTTTAGATAAGCCTTTGTTGAAATGACTAATAAGGATAGAATTATTGCGTATGAGGGATCTACTACAAAATACCTACTGTGACAGAAAGCAGACCATCAGTGAGTGACCCCCATCACATCTACCTGACAGGTGAAAAGGTCTTATGCAGTGACTCGAATGACTGAGATGTAATGGTTTCCCTGTTCCTTTAGTTTATTCAAGTAAACTTACAGAGTCAATGCCCAATATTGAAAAATACGATTCACTCACTTTAAAAATTAAAAGGTTTTGCTAAAGTGAACAACATAGATTTCTGCTCTTCAGGCATTAGAAAAATCAATTCAAAATTGAGATTTCAAATTATTTTCCAAGGACAGAAAAACCTAACATAATGGCCAAAAACCAGTAAGACAATACAGGATAATTTAAAAGGTATGAAAATAGTATTTGAAAATGTGAGCTTGCCAAATCTGTATTACCTTCCCTAGAACTGTTTCAAGGCTCTTACAATATGCTTTCAATGTTGCATCAAAAGAGAGACTAATGGCCAGCAGTCATTAAAATATCAAAGTCTAATAAAAAGGTGTTAATATATAACAAAAATTTTAATTTTAACAATATATAACAACATTGAGTTGTTATGATAGATTATACTGGAGCTAATCCAAGTGTAATGTAATTATTGACAATTTTTCAATCAGAATCAGAAATAGGAAGATAACAAAAATAATGCTACTCAACTTAAAAACACTACTTCACACATATTAATGACAGTTAGGTTTTAGAACCTTGTGCATACAGATCATTTTCTCCTGAAAGTGGATTTCAAGTTGCCCTTTAGATACAAAGGGGAAGCTCCTGGCAGTTTTATGTGGTCTGAGGCTGTAATCATAAATGTGAACTTTAGATTCATTCAGCATTTTAAAACCTTAAGTTCAAATATAAAACAATTCACATTTTTAACAGTCTGTGTTAGTATTCTTTTGTTAGAATCACCATGAATTAAATACCAACCAATTTCACAAAGTAGAGACCTAATTTTATACTCATTTTATCAATGGGTCATGCTTTGTGATGTTAGAGCAGTATATCACACATATTCTCTATGATGTATTTTTTGACAGGAAAATTCAAATGGAAGCACTCTTTTAGACTGTAATTCATTAAAAATGGGTTAGTTGGATCAATTTTCCATAAGGACCATGAGTAATTTGGTGGTAATATACATTCCTTCCAAAATAATAATTAAATCCCAGTGGCTTATACTTTGTCAATTAACAACCATTTCTTAAGTATCCTTTACATCCAGATATTATAACATGTATTAGGGGATGTGAGGATGAACATGATAAAATAATGTTTCCTAGAAGCTCATGACCAATGGAAAAAAAGAAAAACTCATAGAAACAGTAACTGCATTTGAAAGAAAGTGTGTGATGGAGGCAAGTTCCACAAAGGAAGGGATCCTAGAGGGCATAATCAGTGAACTGAGTTATGAAAATTATCAGCAACTTTCAAATAAAAGAATAAGGAATATATCCAGGCAAAGTCACAGAAACATGAAACAGCATAGTGCGTGGAGGGAACCATAACAGCCTGATGGAACTACCAGAGCTCAGGGTAGATGGTGGAGAGGTGCAAAGGTGAGAGTCGACAGGGAAGCTGGAATCTGCTGTGGCTTTCTACACCATGCTCAGAAGTATGGATACTTTCTGATTCCTGACATGAAACAAGGAGCAAATGGTAACAAGTGAGGCATCACAACAAGGTCTGTTTCAGAATAATACTCTAAAGCAGTGTGAATTAGATATGGAAGTAGGGCGATAAAAGTTAGGAGGATTATTGCAATTTAGCAGAAATGAAGATAGAACAGATTGAAAGCCCTTTCTCAGGAACATTAAATAAGTTTCAGTGACCACCACATCTATGGAGTGAGAAGAGGCAAGCATGATTCAGAGCTTCCTAGCTCAGGATTAACCCTCTAAAAATGGTACTGCAATGAACAAAAACAGGGAAGACAGGACGTTAAGGCATGGAACTGCTCAGACTTTAAAGCACTCCACAGTTACCAGTTACTACGAAATAATATTACTTACAATGGAGCATATGGTCATCATAAGCTTTGTGTCCAATAAGCAAACTATAATAACCAAAATTTCTAGATTAAAAAAACAATGTGTGTATGTAGAGTTATGTGGAGTTACCTCATAGCAAGCATCAGAACCCAGACGTGTGTAAACATTCCGCTGCATGGTCAACATGTCTTGCAGCAACATTCTCCAGTCAGACTCACTGACGGGAGGCTGCCTGGGGAAAAAAAAGACAGAGAGAAAAATAATTCATGAAATCTTTCTCCTCAATTGGCCAAAAGTAAAAAAATAGCTAGTACCACTATATGTCACATAGCTCCCAAATGATCAATAAGAATGTATTTCACTTTAACTTCCAGGAAAAACCTTCAATTAAGCTGGGTGGCTGTGTACCAATGCTAGACATGTGGCCAGAGCCTTTGCCATTGGCTGCCTGGAGACAAGAGTAGAAGAGCATCGAATGCGCGTGACGAAACGAAACATGCTGGAGTCTCTAAGGTGAAATAAAGCACAGCACATAAAGCACTTGTGACGGAGCAGAAAAGGCGATCAAGTCTGTCATCATCACTCTGCAATCACCATCCGGGGAGCTTAACGTTAACCACACACAGACCCAGAAGGCAATGAGAGGCCACACCTGGCATCAGTGTAGAGGCGGGGAGCCCCAGCTCACAGGCAGGGCAGCGTCAGTTGTTACCCTCAGTGGGAGCCCGAGTGCTGCAGCCCCGGCGCAAGGAGACTGCTGTATAGTTACAGGAGTTGCCCTCTCTGGCTTAGCAAGAAGCTTCATGCCCCTCAAGAGCTAATGCAACAACATCTTAGGCATGGTTTTCAGGGCCCCCTCAAGGACATGCCAGTGACCATACTCAGGAAAGCCCAAAGCACAAAAGCATAAAACCCCTGTCAGGTTTTCTGGTTCATTTACAGCTTTTCCAAGTTAGAATTCATTTACCAATCAGGGATCAATTTTACACAAGCAGTGAGGCCCACACAATCTAACTGATCAAATACCATTTTATGATGGTATCCAGGGTTACAGAGTTAGAGAATTAATGGTTCAGATACTCCTGCAGCAGGGGAAAGGGTTTTGTTAACAGTTTCACCACTGGTCCCATATTAGCTGCACAACAGTGAATATTTATTATTCCTGAATTTCAGTTTCTTCACTTAGAACCCATATCAGAGAGTGATAAGGAATAGATGAAATTACTTTAGATAAAACACAGACACTAAAGCAAGATGTTCCTAAGTATAAAAACAAGTTCAATTACCTGCACACATGTGAATAAATTTCTTAATTTCAGTTAGCTACAGATTTCCTTTTGGTGAAGATTAACTTAAACTAGAATATATTAAAAGATACTCCCCTCATTTTATTGGTATAAAACAGTATCAATAAATGTAGTTTGGTTTTATTTTTGTCAAATACCAACTAGACAGTTTCTTTTCCAAGCATCTTTTTTTTTTTATGCATTAAAACAGGGCAAACAGACTGTATATAATTGTACTGGTATAGAAAAAAAATACATATTTGGGATCATTCCTGTGAAAATTCTAGTCTTCAAGAATTTTTTTCACCGAAAATTTTTAATAAGCATATACTGCATTTGCTTATTTTATATTTAGTATACAAAATGAACAATTATTCTATCCCATATACAATAAAGCATAAGAGAATATTTTTCCCAGCAGACAGAAAAAACAAACTGATACATTTGCAAGTCTTCCAGGACAATTTGTGAATGTTTCCATTAGTTAGACTTTGGTGAACTTTATCAGTGAGCTTTAAAACTTGGAGGACTCTTCCAGATTTGGCTTGCAGGCAGAGAAGTAGCAAAATGTGTGCTGAAGAGAGTGCCCACTTTGCACCAGCTTTATGAAATCAGACCGAGGCATCGTCTAGCTGAACTGACGTTCTCGCAGCCCAGCTGTTTTTTCAGAGGCAGCAACAGCGGGACAGATGGTATTAATGTTGCCTCACACCTGGCTAGCCAGAAATACAGGTTCTAATTAAAATAAATTATAAGAGATTACTTAATATGGCCCTTTCGGAATATATTCGGTAAATAAGAATCAAAAGTAGAACTTGAAAGCACTGTACAAGAGGTTCTCAAATTAACAGACAGATTCCTAAACATGGTGCACTAGCTACTACAGCTTGGAAGAGAGGTTTTTTTTTTTCCAGGGAGAAACAGTATTGCATTCAAGATGGTAAAACCTGATTTGTGACAGATTCACTTAAAGTGGACTACTGTGAAAAAAGAAACCATATTCTCTTACATATTTGTAGAACACTATGAGTAGAAATTAAGAACCTCAGTAGTATTTGATGGACTCCATAGGGAGACAGTGGGTAATCTAGCAGTAACAGCATGTCTTTTTTACTGAAGAGCAGGTGCTAGCATAGAGTCAGCATGATCAGAAATATTGACCATTTGTTTATAGCTGTAAAGAAACCTTAAGACTTAAGTTGTCAAAACCTTCTAGATTATTCATTTAGTAATTGCTGACAGGACTATTGATATGTAAAGTCCCATATTAGCTGTATGATGACTATCACATTTGCCCTGGAGAAGCTTATGATCTCAAAGGAAACATAAGGCACATGTGTCAGTAAGTACAGCACCCTGTTCAGAGACAGAGATGGGGGAGAGACAGATAGAGAATGCTAGGGGATTTCCTAGGAAGCAGAATTCCTTGAGCAAGCCAGTACTGATTGCGTTACATTAGCAAGTTACTGAAGTCAACAAGGGCTCAGTATTGCTGGAATCACTGGGGAGATGTAGTTTATTCATCTACCATTTCATGGTTCTTACTGTTTGAATGCAGATCTGATGGGTGTTAACTCCCTTACAATCCCAGCGTAACTAAGCAGCACCTGGCATCTTTGCTTTCTCCAGCTCAGATCTAGATAGGAAGTCCCAATTCATATGCTGCTTATAAGAAATGCACTTCAAATAGAAAAGCAAAATTAATTAAAAGTAAAAAGTTTACCAGGCTAAATAAAAACAAGATACATCATGCTAACATCAATAAAAAGAGAAAGAATAAATCAAAAAAGGCATAAATATTGGAAAGAAGTAAAGCTGTCTCTATTTGTAGACAGCATGATCTTATATAGAGAAAAAGCTATGGGATCTGCAAAAAAATCTACCCAAGCTAATAAATAAGTCTAACAAAGTTGGATACAAGATCAACATATCAAAATTCAATTGTCCTTCTACATACTATGGATGAACAACCTAAAATGAAATTAAGAAAACTTCATTTACAGTAACATCAAAAAGAATAAAATACTTAGGAATAAATTTAACAAGTTCAAGACTTGTACACTGAAAACTACAAAAACCATTAAAAGAAATTAGAAGATTTAGGTAAATGAAAAGACATCATGTGTTCACTGGTTAGAAGACTTAATATTAAGATAGCAATATGCCCCAAATTAATCTATTGATACAATGTAATCCCTACAAAAATCCAAAAGGATTCTGTAGAAACTTACAAGCTAATTCTAAAATTCATTATGAAAAGGCCAAAGCCTTAGAATAAATAAAACAACTTTGGAAAAGCAAAAAAAATTAGGAGTCTAATATTACCTAATTTAAAGACTAACTATAAATCTATAATAATCAATACAATATGGTATTAGAAGACAGACAAATAGATCAATGGAACAAAGAATCTACAAATAGCCTCTTGTATATATACATAAAACTGATTTTCAACAAAGATGTAAGCTGAATTCAGTACAGAAAAGATAGTCTTTTCTTTGTGCTAAACTATTTAAATATGGAAAAAAAATTGATCCATGTCTTGAATAATCAACAAAAATGAGCTCTCTAGTCATAAAATGTAAAACTATAAAATTTTGCTAGAAAAGGTAGCAGGAAATCTTTGTGGCAAAAGTTTCTTAATATGACATGAAAAGCACAATAAAAAAAAAACAAATTTACCTGGTAAGTTAGACTTCATTAAAATTTTTAAAGTATGCTATGCTCTTCAAAGACACAGGTAAAAGATAAGGTGCAGAAAAAAAATCTTTGCAAAGCATATATTTGATAAAGAACTTACATCCTGAATGTATGAGAAAACTCTTAAATCAGTAAGAAGAAAATAAACAGCCCAAATTTTAAAATGATCAAAGAAGATATGTAGATGGCAAATAAGCACATAAAAATATTCTCAATATTATTACATTGGAGAAAACCATTAAAATGAAAATTAGATACCTCTACATACTTATTAAAATAACTTAAAAAGACTGACGATACCAAGTACCGACAAGGATGTATAGCAACTGGAACTCTCCTACAAGACTGGCTAGAAAGTAAGTTGGTAAAGATGCTAAACAAAACAAAACAAACTGCCAAACACCAAATTTAACCATCCACTTACCATATAATGCTGCCAATCCACTCATTTATTTGTCCAAAAGACATGAAACCGTATTTTCATACAAAGACTGGTACATGAGTACTCATAGATTTGTAAAAGCCAAAACTCAAAACAACCCAAATGTTCATCAACAGATGAATAAAGTCTGATAAATTCATACAATGGAATACTACTCAGCAAAGGAAATGGAATAAATTATTGATTTACAACATGGATGAATCACAAAACAATTATGCTGGGTGAAAGAAGCCGAACACCAACTAAGAAGTGTGTATGCGTGATTCCACTGGCATAAAATTCTAGGAAATGCAAAGTAATACACAGGGACCAAAAATAGATCAGCATAAAATTCTAGGAAATGCAAAGTAATATACAGGGACCAAAAATAGATCAGCATAAAATTCTAGGAAATGCAAAGTAATACACAGGGACCAAAAATAGATCAGTAATAGCCTGAGGAGACAATAGGGGTTTGACAGGGAGAAGAAAGGAGGAGATTATTAAGGGGCAAGAGAAAGCTTTTAGGGTGATGTATATGTTTCATCAGTATATACATATATCAGAACATCAAATTCTACCCCTAAAATATGTGGAATTTATTGTTAGTCAATTAGAACTCAATGACGTCAAAAAAAGAAAAAAAGCAGTATTTATTTTTAATCATATACAAGTATCAATTTTGTTTATTACTCACTTTCGACCAGTGTGTCTGGTCAATCTAACCATCAGCTTGCGTGCCTCTTCTGAGCTAGACTGAGTGTTTTTAACAAATGAAACTGGTTTCTCAAGTCCATGTTTCTCCAAAAGCTCTGATACACTATAAATGAGAGAAGAATTTAAGTCTTGCTACTAACAAAAAAAGTCTAAGAATCCTACACATAAAAGTAGCGCTTAGGTGTTCAGTATTTAAAAAAAAGAAAAAGAAAAAGCAACACATAGAATGACCCAATTTTACATATTACATTAATACTCAGCAAAAAAAATAACCTGACAATTATATATCTAATGTTATATCCCATACTTTTATTGCAATATGCTTGGAAGTAACATTTTTAAAAAGCATGATATACATCTTTTTGTCAAAATCTTTTTTTACAATTTTCCTGTACTCTGAAGGCATCAAGACAGTGAAATAAGCCAAATCTATTATTTCAATACCCAGCTTTAACTCTCAACAATCCTACTGAGTATTTTGTCATAGGTAAGGATGTTAGAAAAGCAAAGAACTTTAGAGTTAAAGAATCACAGAAACATCATAAGCTTCAATCTTCTTCGAGAACCTACTCTACAAAAATATAAAATATGCCACGAATTTTTTTTCACATGAATCTTCTTGAGACAGCCCATTCCATAATCATCAATACACCTGGTCTGTCATCAAATCTCACATTTATAAATTACTACTGGGGGTTTGTAGAGTGGCTGGATAGAATTCAACAACTCTTCATAAAGATCGGCTTCATGGGTCATGTTACCTGACATTAAATACACTAAACATTTTTCAACTATTAGCGGCTATGAACTGGAACACGAATAGAAAGTTCTTAATTTAAAAGGTCAGTAACGTAAGCTCAACAGTGAAGGACCTGGGTATCATCCAGAAATCTACAGGGTGTCCCTGTTTCCTTGAAGGACTAAGAGCATAATGTGACCATCAGAACCACCCATGGTTATACCAGGACATATGGCGAAATAAATTGTGTATATTTCATTGTGTCTCTGAGATAAGTCTTCCAATTTCCTTAGGGAAACAAAGGAAACCCTGCAGATTTGTAAGGAATGAATCCATACAGACTTAACCCCCTAAGCTTTAGTCAAACTATGTTCAGTTTTTCAGTAGGAAAGATACAAGCCAATCCATAATAGGAAAAGCTTGATTTATTAAGCATTTTTAAAGAAAAAAAAAAAAAAACGGTATAACTTCCAGAACACAGAGTAATAAGCAGCAGGTAGGTAATAATAAAGAGGTCCTGAAGAAACAGTTAATTTTTATTAAATTCACATACATATATGGTACACAAAAATATTGTTTACTTAAATACAGCTTGAAATATTTTTACACTGAAGTCCCTTAAATTGAATTCATAAAACTTATAATTAGTATACTCAAAATTATTATACTTTATTATTCATATTACCATTATAAAGTGATGTTATTACCTATAATCTCTATAATTATATATAAGAACAAAGCTTATTACTCCTAAAATTTTAATATAAATATTTAAAAATTACACATGTGCATACTCATACACACATATAAAAAGAAATACTAGTAAATATTAGACTTCCAATGGTAAATTAAGAAATTTCAGTCTCCAAAAGAGACAGGTTAGTGTTTCATTTTTGACAATAAAAAATATTACTACAGAGTTACTTGAAGGCTCTAGTGTAGTTTGATATAATCCAGATATTCAACCAAATTTAATGTAACCAAAAAATGAAAGCCATTTGTATTTAAATAAATATTGTTTGCTGATAGATGCAATAACCGTTGCAGAAACTAACATTTTTGTGTACCTACTATGTGTGAGGCACTTTAAATGTTTAACATTAATTTCATAATCTCATGAGTTAGATATTATAGATGAGAAAACCCTAGGCTCAAAGATCAGACAGGCAGCAAGTAGCAGTGCCTAGATTTGAACACTGGCCTACTAGTCTCAGAGTCCATGTTCTTCTTATTCTATGATTGTGCTAAAATAAGCTAGTAGTACATTTGTTAGTAAGAAAATTCCAGCCAGGAGAGCCAAATATGAAGTCAAACTGGAAATAACTACTAGGCATATTCAAGTGCTATTTCTTGGATAGACTTCCTTAATCAGCATAGACCCAAGAGACTGTCATTTTTCTCACCTGAGAACTTGTTCCAATTGGTCTACCATGTCATGAAGAGCTGTTGTTACCTCTGTTTTATGACTAAAGTATTAAAAGAAAAAAATTAAGTTTTAGTAGCAGCTTTTTACAAAAAATACAAAACTCAATCAAGTGAAAAAAGATACTATATTTTCCTTACAATTAATATGTAACAATATTACACTGTCCAGGCAAAATTTCAGTCTTATTTCCTGAACTCATCCATTGCCTTTCAAGAGGAAAGAGATTAAGATAAAAAATACTGGAGTAAAACAATATTCTCTATTACAGATTAGCAAGATGTACACAATTATTTTCTATAGAACTTTTAGTTCAGTTCTGCTAAAATGAAAAAAATAGTTACAAATCAATTGCCTTTTTTTTTAAAGAAGAGGTAAAGGATAGAATATTTTTTAAAAGAACATTCATTTCTGTTCTTTTAAAAAATAAAACAGATAGGAAGCATGGACCTGCATGTTGGCTTTCTTCTGGGCCTGTTTATACCACTTGTGACCCCCTAAGATGTTTCCATTCGTATTTCATATACTCAGGAGACCTTTTCCATGCCATCATTCCCCCTGTATCCACTTCAGGGAGAAGCACAGTTATCATATAGATAAGTCCTGCCAGGTAGGAAATAAAATGCAAACTATTTCTAAGGAAGCAACTGGACAGGGAACTAGGAAAAATGTTAACATGAAAAAGATCACAGACTAATATAAATGTGGCTGATGGAATTCGATATTCCAACACACGCATGCGCAAGTGAACCCAAGTCCTCTTCCACCCTGTACAACTCTGTGTCCCACACGTCAAGGAAACACTCTCAACCAAGAACCACTGCACCATACACTCTCAGGCGCCTTCCAACCAGTGGTCCAACTGAATGATCAGGATCTACAAACTACCCCATATTTCTGTAACATAACAGACAGAATCGAAAATTATCCTACAAAAAAAAAAAATCAAAACTGAAACAAGACTGACAATGTAGACAGACACTCACACATAAGGCAACCTCCCAAACGCTCCTATAATGAGAAGGCTTCAACAAGGCTTTCAATCAGCTTTTTAGTGTCTTAGATACATATTCATTCTTTAAAAACTTAAAAATAGAACTACCATATGATCCAGCAATTCCACTTCTGGGTATATACAGTCAAAGGAAATGAAATCACTATGTAAAAGAGGTACCTGCACCCCACTGTTCACTGCAGCATGCATACACACACACACACACACACACACACACACACACTAGCCAAGACACGGCAACAACCTAAGTCCATCAGCAGATGAGTGAATCAAGAAAAGGCACGGTGTGTCTATATACCCGGATGTGTGTTGTACCATAATAAATCTATTACACAGACACACTGGAATACTAATCAGACACAAAAGAAGGAAATCCTACCATTTACAACAGCATGAATGGACCTTGAGGGTATTGTGCTAAGTGAAATAAGTCAGAAAGAGAAAGACAAACACTGCATGATGGTCTCACTTATATGTGGAATGAACAAAAACCAAAAAACACTCATAGAAAAAAAAGATGAGATTTGTGGTTACCAAAAGCAAGGGTGCTGGGGGGGAACTGGATGAAGGGAGTCAAAAGGCACAAACTTCCAGTTATAAGATAAGTAACTCCTGGGGATGTAATGTACAACATGATGACCAGAGTTAACACTGCTATATGTTGTATCTGAAAGTTGCTAAGACTGTGAATTGTAAAAGATCTCATCACAAGAAAAAAACATTTTTCTGTTCTTTGTCTCTTTATGAGAATGGTGGATGTTAACTGAAGTTACTGTGGTAATCATTTCACAGTATATATAAGTCAAGTTGTCATGTCATATACCTTAAACTTATACATGCTGTATGTCAATTATATCTCAAAAAAACTGAAAAAAAATAAAACTATGTATATTCACACATTACTACTTAAAAGGATTATTATAGGAAAGGACCAAGAACAATTCATAGAAGAAATACAACTAGCCCACAAATATGAAAAATGCTTAATAAGAAACATAACTTAAAGACATACCAATATCTATCCACTTAAAAATATTTTTTATAGTGCTGGTATTTTTGTTTGTTTTTTTTAATGGATAATTAGTCATCAAGGTTTACAAAATGATAATGACTTTGAGATATACTGTTAGAAAAACAAAAGTTTATCTCTAGGCAACAGGTTTGCAGATGATTTCATTTTCTTCTTTCTATTTTTTTATACTTCAAAAATTCTCTACAACAACATTCAGGGAAGCAAAATTTTCCTTTTAACTGTTAGAGTAAAAATACACAATAGCATTATCAGCACACTGGATTCTTACCCATATCCTCTTTGTGGCAGACACTCTAATATGTCATAGCAAAGAGAGAGTTGGTCATTCCGTTCACAGTTATAAATGCACTCCAGTGCTACTGTCATAAGTTGGTCCTGATCAGGAATAATTTTTTGTTGCAGCTAGAGAAAACAAAGCATGTTGTACTGAGTATCAAAAGATCTATAGTCAATTTTTCTACATTCCAGTACCACTGTCAATAGAATATTAAATGGTGCAATTAATAAGCTGTAAAAACAAATCTTGATTTTTCTTTAGTTTACAGACTTTTGAGGTCTTCAATAACTCTAAATGAAATCACATTTTAATCACAGAATCAGCTAGAAAAGATAATTTGTACCCATAAGCTTTGCATCTGCTGAAAACAGATTCTTCAATTTATGACCCATTCAAGATAAACAAGATAGAAAAAAACAGGGAATTAAAAAGCCAATTCATTCAAAGCAGCAATTCTAACCCTAGAGCCAAATTTTATGTGTTTCAATTACAAAAATAGATAAAATTCCTTAACTAATATTCAGAGATGATAGAACCTACTACTTTTCAGTATGCATTATATATTATTAGTCATTTAACTAAACTACTGACATCCTATTCAAAAGAAGTATGGTATGGTAATGCAATAATCTTTAAATCACAGAATATACTCCATATCTCTGAAGCAAGTCACTTTCTAGGTTGGATATACCACTTTCCATCACAAACCACAGATTCCAATCTTTACAGTATTTTCTGGCATATAAAAATAACACATGTGGCAATCCTGAGAAAGAAGAAGAAAGTGGCAGGGATCTCACTCCCCAACTTCAAGCTCTACTACAAAGCCATAGTAATCAAGACAATTTGGTACTGGCACAAGAACAGAGCCACAGACCAGTGGAACAGATTAGAGACTCCAGACATTAACCCAAACATATATGGTCAATTAATATTCGATAAAGGAACCATGGACATACAATGGGGAAATGACAGTCTCTTCAACAGATGGTGCTGGCAGAACTGGACAGCTACATGTAAGAGAATGAAACTGGATCACTGTCTAACCCCATACACAAAAGTAAATTCAAAATGGATCAAAGACCTGAATGTAAGTCATGAAACCATAAAACTCTTAGAAAAAAACATAGGCAAAAATCTCTTGGATGTGAACATTAGCGACTTCTTCATGAATATATC